CACATCGGCATCTCTTTGTAAAAGCTCAGCAGCAATGTAATATTTTTATTAACATAGATAAGAACAGTTGTTTGGTTCCCCAAGAAAGGGAAAAGAAAAAGAAAAAAGAGAGAGAAAATAACACCCCGTTTGGGTTGTTGATTTGGGTGTTTAACAGAGCCTGTAAATCTCGGGTGATGTTTTCTTTCCATGATAAGCTTTGTCCATAAGCCATGCTTAAACATGATGCATTAGTTAGATGTTTATAGAAACTGCTGCTTTGTACAGTAAAGAAAGGGAATTCATTTTATATGCAAAGAGTGTGGGAGACTGAATTCTCTCATCTCCTTTGTATAAAGCCAATGAAAACCAGTGCACTGTAACTCCATGTGACTTGTTTACTGTTTTGTTTGAATGGTAGTTAATATAGGTTTGCCTTGCGTTTCAATGGCTACAAATAGTTCAGTTCCACATCCGGGAAGACAAGTTTTGAGGCTTGTGATTTGACAATTTGTAATTGATGTTTGGTCCTCAGGAAGCGACAGATTGTCATGGTCAAGCTTTCCAGTGGCCACGTTGGTCATGAAAGCTACTCAAGTTTATCGTTTAGGCCAAGTTGTGCTCTTTGTTATAATAGATAAGAGTTGAATTTGGATCATACGAAGTACACACTTATTTATTTTGTTAATATTTCACCCCAATGTATATGCTCTCAGTTTCCCAAACCACAATTAAGCTATTAGGTATATGTTACCGACCCCTACTAATCACGTTTACAAAAGGAACATTAAAGGCAATCAGAGGGTGTGCGCAAGGGGAAGTTAGTGATCCACGTGGCAGGCATCATGCATTGGGTGTGACATGGGGATATAAATTGAGAGATTTCAATTGTAAAAGCATGAAAACTTTTGAGTATGAAATTAGGAGGAACTAACCCCTCCCAGAACTAGCTATCTTATTCGAATGTCATAGTGTTGTTTCCATTTTATTCATCAATCAATATTAATACAATATTCATAGGCAGCTCTACACTCTTCATTCATGTTTGAACATTGTTGTTTGAGTGTTGGATTACAAGTTGTGGGGTTGTGTTGAGTTTGAAGATCCAGGTTCTCAACAGTATATTACTCAAGAGGATTTGAATTCAATCTATGTCAAAACCCTATAAGGGTGATTACAAAAGAACACACATCATTAAAAAAAAAAAAAAAAAGTGTAGTCAGTGTCTTTATTTTAATGACAATCCCTTAATGAAAAAAAAAAAAAAAAAAAAAAACCTATGACTCAATGAACCAGAAACTAAACCTGGTCCCGGTGCAGGCACAAATATACAAGATTCTCTACCATAGTCGTACATATAAAATAAAAGATTAGGCTAAATTTTATAATCACCCTTTATATGTTTAATTTGACTAGTGAGAGTGAGTGCCAGCTGTTGCATCCAGCGAATCTGGTAAAATGGTAATGTTACAGTGTCGGCTAACCAATATAAAATGGTTGTCTTGGATCTGGATTTTGAAAAAGACATTGTTCTAACCTAGCGAGGCAGAAGGCACAGAAAACACATGAACCTGAATAATTGTGGTCTCAATTTTTTCAATTTTACTTAATGCTGAATTGCTGATAGAGAGGTGTCCCTTTTTTAGTTCAGAAATTATTAAATTAATACATTATATATTGATTATCTGCAGAATATGCCAACCAACCCAAACCCCACTTCAAAACCACTTTATTAGCTTCATGATTTAATTTTCATTGAATTTAGTAGCATAAGTCAAATTGAATCACAAAAAGCTACGCAAATAGTTTGAGTCTAGAAGTATAATTCATGTTGTTGTTATTAATATTATTATTTTTTAGTATTAAGAGGTGTTTGGATTAGTTGGAGCGCACTTTAGCTATTTTTTCAAGAATTGAAAATTATATTTCATTTCATGTTGTTATTGTTTCTTCCAAAACGATTTGATATATATTTTTATGAAATGTTTTACAGAGGTATATTTGTATATATCATAAGATATTTATATAAAAAAAACATTTATTCAGATACCCTTAATTTATAAAAGGCCCCTTGTATTTGTATACCCAACAGATGAAAGAAACTTAGAATTTGAGTGGCATCTATAAATTGGCCTGCCCTTAATTATTTGGAAATGTAATTGTGAACATGAAAGGACTTGCTGGGGACCTTTTGGTGTTAAATAGTTGCTACATTCACATATGACCTTACCAAATTAATTGAATTTGGAATCACAACAAATAAAGGAAGAAACAACTCTTTCTCTTTCATTAATAAGTTTCCCTTTCAAATAAAGGTCTTGTGTTCGAATTATTACTTACATGGATTCAATATGGGCTTGGATACCTCATATACTTAAAAAGGTTGACAAAAATACGAAAACTCTTGTATGAATTCATGGATTTTGCTTCTTTTTTGAAGAATTATATATCATCCAATGTTGATATTTTAGAAGAGTTGAGAAAAAAAGTTACTTTTAAGTTCATAAAATCGTGATAACATTATGTTCTTATTTATAAATCTTTCCACAACTTAATTCTTTATGACCAAAAGGAGACACATTTAGAATGAAAATCAGAATATAGATTTCTGTTCTCTAAAGAAAGGTCTGGTACGTAACTTATGATAATAATATTAATTATTGTTAATCATGTTGTCATAATCTAAGTCTTTACAGTACTTTGGATTCTAGCGACATACATATTTTGAATCAAATACAACCTTGTGGCTTTTATGATTCTTGTTTATCCAGTAATTTATTAACCTGCAAGTAAACCTAAATCCAAACGGTATTTACGTAATTATATACAAAATCTAAATATATGACCCACAAATCCGTGTAAAATCTTGAGTATTCCACTTCAGTGGGAGTCTTAAGAGACCAAGACTCAGACAATTAATTGCATTTTTAATATAATATACAGTATATGAAGTCGGTTATCGTCTAAATATGTTGAAGAAAAATTTGATTCAACAAACAAAATGATTGGGGGACGATCAAATCTGTGAGTTGGAAGTTGATCAAACTTGGACCATAAGAAAATAAAACCCTAAATTTTCTAATAACTTAACCAACCAATCAGAGACTAAATATATATTATATGTAAAAAGCATCATAAGGAAAGGTCTAGATATAAGGCAAAGCTTTACTTACGAATATGATCGATTATGGCTAGAAGCAGCTGTGTGATTAGACATTAAATAAATGGGATATTTCCTTAATCAAGTAAATATTATTGAGCGAAATATATTGTCATTGGTTCAGGTTACCAGACAATGACAGTTGACAGATAAGACAAAGGTTTTGATATGTAATCTATCAACACTCCAAGTCAAACCTAAGTAGATTGAGGAGTAATATTGGGTGGTTAAGTGACCTTGCCGCCTGGGGAAACTCTGAGTGGGACATGTCTCAGACCGTGATGTTTAACAGCATCCACAAATGGGATCTGGGAAATCAGATTAATGCTTCAATTAACTGTTATCCTCACTCCAAAAGTAGCAGCAAATTTTGACTATTAAGATTTTGCAAAGATATTATGACTTCACCGGTAAAAGCTCCCTCCGAATCACTCTCATCATATGTAAAAAGAAGTGGGTTCGACTTGAGAGTGTAAAATTATATATGGTTTGATTGAGGGGAAGATTGGTGATGATCTCACAGCAGCACGTATATATATATATATATATACTTGAGAGTGTAAAATTATATATGGTTTGATTGAGGGGAAGATTGGTGATGATCTCACAGCAGCACGTATGTATATATATATATATCTTGTCAACTATCAAGTAATCTTTTTCTTTATGCTTAGATATGGTTTTGCTTGTAATGTGGGTCAGTGTTTTGTTTAATGAGATTTGATCCCAGTTTCTGATTTGGGTAAGAGATGAATACCTCTCTTTACTTAAAGAAGAAAGCAGAATTAAACAAGTTGTTGACCATCATTTAACAAAGTCAATAATCATTTCTTTGTTTCTTACCTAAGAGTAATTTATTTTATACGCAGATTTAGAAATTAAATAAATAATACATTACCTGGAGACAAGCGTAGGTTTGGTTTATTATAAATGTGTTCCCCAAGCTGGAAACACCAATGTAAAAAACTGAAAAAAGGTAGGGCTACGACGTGGCGGAATCACTGAGCAACACATAACGATTCCTTTATGCGCCAACGCACACGAGCAGTCTTGCTTCTAAAGTTAAATTATTAAATTCGAACCCAAATCCAATTCCCTATGTTTGCACTTTGCCCCCTCTTATTTTCTTTTTTTACCCTTTCTTCTCTTTTATCTAATAAATCTTTAAAATTCACCCTTACTCGCTTTACAAGCGCGTGCTACTTTCCTCTTTCGCGCAGCATTTGGTAGATTTAAATTTAAATTAATATGATTAAAAAAAAAAAAAAGAATTTTCCATATTAAATTGCACGTGTTAAATTAAAAAAAGAAAAAAAGATTGATGATTCATGGATTGAGTGGGTCTAAAATTAATTACCAATGGTAGAATTGAGTCAATTGAAAACATATAAATGGTTAATATATCATCAATTATTTTATTAAAAACAAAAGATCAATAGTAACGTAGACCAATCAGAATGAGACACCATAATGTTACAATTTAATTAATTAATTAAATAGTAATCACAATCAAAGCTCCGTTGTCGTTTAGCATTCACCTATTTATAACTTTAAAAAGAACAGCTGGGGACAAAGCAACCAATTAAAAGAGCACACATTTAACATCATGTGCGCGTGGGAAAGGAAAGCACTGCTCATTGAAAATATCTAACATTGGGGACCATGACGTGGAGCCAAAGTTGATAAAAGCGGAGCAAAGTGGGTCCCAGCTCGTGACTCAGGAAATATCCAAACCGTCAGGATTCGTGCCACGATTACTCATGTAACTGTACATGCGTCCACTTATATATTACGGTGGTGCCTCAACTCCGTAAAAGCGAATGCAACTAATGCCCATCACACTTTTCCCTTCTTACTTCTTAAAAAACTGCCCTTTTTTAATCACATTACACAAGTAAGAGCAGCCAACTTTTCAAAACGCAGGGAGAGAGAAAAAAAGGAGGTTAACTTGAGGAGGTGCATAGCAATAGTATATGGGATGGAGTCCAACAACGTAATCGCACCGTTCGTTATGAAGACTTATATGATGGTCAATGATCCAACGTCTGATATGTTAATCACCTGGGGTAGAGCCAACAACAGCTTCATCGTTGTCGAACCTTTGGATTTCTCACAGAGGGTCTTACCGGCATACTTCAAGCACAACAATTTCTCTAGCTTTGTTCGTCAACTCAATACTTATGTGAGTTCTTTCTCAACACAAACATTTGTTATAGGATTTGTTGTAGAATCCAAAATCTTTATAATATGTTTTTACTGTAATTATGATATCAGGGTTTTAAAAAGGTGGATCCGGATAGATGGGAATTTGCGAACGAGTGGTTTCTTCGAGGCCAAAAGCACTTACTGAAGAACATAGTAAGGAGAAAGCACAGTAAAAGTCCGTACATGCTGGCGAAAAGTGAAGATTTTGACGATGAAGAAATAATCATGGAGATAGAAAGGTTAAAGCAAGAACAGAAGTCGTTAGAGGAAGAGCTCCAAGGGATGAACAAGCGTTTAGAAGCCACGGAGAGACGGCCGCAACAGATGATGGCTTTTCTTTACAAAGTCGTTGAAGACCCTGACCTTCTTCCTCGCATGGTAATTGAAAAAGAACGAAGCAAGAAACAACTGGGTGAAAAAAAGAGACGGCTGATGATTTCTTCATCACCGTCTTCTTCTTCAGGCATGGGTTTATCAAGTTCAATAAAGTCTGAAGAGGACGAAGTGGGAACCCTGGGAGTAATATCATCACCGGATTCAGGCTTTGATATTGATCATAACATGTGTCAATCATCACCATCACCGTCACCAGAAAATTCAATAGAATGGTTAGGGCAAAGACAACTAAATTATGGGTGTGCAGCGTTTCCTACTGCCATTTCGGCGGTTCCGGCAAGCGCTGGTTTTGGAAATCCTATGGCGGTGTCGAGGCCAGGAAATAGTATCTCTTATTTTGGAGAAATGGTGGAGGCAAGTCCACCACCACCTTATCCATTTTCGCTGTTAGAAGGTGGCTTTTAGTTCCTTATCACAAGAATTATGTTGGATTCTACCTCTTGTATTAATTTTTTTTTTTTTTTTTTTTTTGCTCTTTTTCCTTTTCGTTTTATAATGTTTTTTTTTTTTTCCTTTTGTTGGAAAAAAAAAAGTGAATAATTATGTGTTTAATATGTAGTTGGATCATGTTTAGAGCTTTATTGTGTATATATATGACACGGTTCGACAATTATAAAAATGATATTGATTTATTAAAAAAATAATCCTTTCACGTTCTTCATTTGGATTTTTTTAATCTGAAGGTTAGGTAATAAAGATAGTCTATATTGTTATATATAGAAAGTCTTTGTAAAATTTGCAGGCAAAAATGCTTGACTACTTTGCCAAATTTGGTAGAATAATAGAATTGAATATGTTTTAATACAAATAAGATTAAAAAAAGAAAAGAAAAAAGAAATGAAGAATGGCAACAGGAATGGGAATGGGAAAAACAAGAATGAATAATTAGGTGTTAGTTAAAGTGAAAAGCAGAGAATCCATTTGTAACCCACGTGACGACGACCCTTTGGTGCCCATAAAGACAGCGCCAGATTTCACGGTTGCATAAGCTTCCCTTAATAAATATGGTAGGACCATTTTACCCTACCCTACCTTTGCCGCATTTTCCTTTCTCTTATTATCGCAATTTTCATTGACTATTTCTCCAGAGTCAAACATTATGACCAATCATAAACCACAAACTCTTCAAGTAAGTAAATCCTCCTCTTCCTTTTCAATTTTCTTAATATTGGGACAGCTTTGAAGGTGACGACTGATTAACGTGAGTGATTCATCATGTTCGTCCAAACCTTTAAGGGTCTACTTAGACGCGTGTCCAAAATCCCATTAAAAGTGGGTCCCAGCACTTGACAATAATGGAAAGGTTCGTTGGGACTCTTTCTTTTCTTTTATTTTATATTAATATATGAGTGGCACAAAGGCATCTCTCTCTCTCTTTTTTTCTCAAGTAACTCTTTTTTTCACTTTTTGTATGGGGACCACTCCTCTCGGCTGATGCGTCCACGTGGGGTTTAAGAGAGTGGATGGATACGTGTTCAGTTCCCAATGCATCACTTTTTGTCCTCCTCCTAAATTTTTCACAAGATACCTTGTGACCGCTGATGTGGTGCTCCTCTGGCATACACAATCATGGTGGACATTGATAGAACCCATCCTTCACCAGGCCCCACCACGTGTCTATCTGATGGTTGGCTTGCCTATCTAAGTATCACTGATGGATGGATGGCATACCTAGTATTAATTTTTTAAAATAACTCTTTACCATTTTTATTAATTTTAAAGACTTATTTGAGATTAATTAAGTGGAAGAGAATATAAGAAATATAAGTGGACACAGATTTTGAGGATTTATAAAGCGAAAAAGGAGAGTGATACCTGTCACTGGCCAATCCCAGGAAGGTCATTGTCTCTAAGGGTAGGGAAATCCGGACCATGTATTAGGCTAGCTGTGTTGTTTTTTTCAATAATTTTTATTTTACTAATTAAATGGTGGTTCTAAGATGGACCACGTATCCAACTTCATTAGCTTAATTTGATGACCATAATATATTATTAAACAATTGTTGGCGGTTGAATTTTAGACTAATTATACATTATGCCTTTAATTTAATCATTGATGTTGAATGAGTATGTGACTTCTTTTTTTTTTTTTAATGACCAAGGTGTCTGTGTTAGTCTAATTTCTGAGTATTTGACTTTTGTTATGCCTAATTTCTTGTACACATTTGTTCTTATTATCAATTGGGATGTTAACCTTCAACACATGGAATTTACTAAAAATGAATTCCAAATTTTATTTTATATATATAAATTTTAATTATTTTTAACATTCTTTATAAGTTAAGAAGAATATATTTCAAATGCCCACTCATCAAAATTTTCAACCATTGAATTACTTTAAATATAAAATATATAAAATATTATAAAAAATTTAAGTTAAGATATATATATATATATAAGATTGATAAATATTGATGATGAAACTATTGCCTCTCTTAGACTCTTCTTGTGATATTTGTTTAATCAGTGTTGCAATATGAATATAAGATATTTCTAATAGATCACAAGCCTATATATAAATTAAATTTTGTGATAAAGTGAACTCAATGGCTTAAATTCAAAGCTCCGTCGTTATATAAATTCAACTCTTTTTTTTTTCTTTGTTTGATAAGAATGAAACATCCATTCCACAACATACAAGGCATACATATGAGATTACATCATACATATGAAAGCCATAAACTAGAAATCAAACAAACTAATCTAACTAGATATTAATATGGCTTGTCCTAAAGACAAATTTTCAAAATACTCGTTGGGCAAGAAGATAACCAATTTAGAGGCAGAGAATCTGATGCTTTTAACCTTGCAACCTCATGTGCTAACATATTAGCTTTCCCTCTGGTCCACTGAAACCGAACTAAGGAACAACTGAGGGTTAGGTTGTGAATCTCTCTCACAATTCCATCAATTTCCCAAAAAACATGTTCCTCCTATAGGCCTTAATAAGATCTAAACAATTTGTTTCCAATAAGACCTCAGTTAAACCCAGATTGGAAACCAAAACTATAACTTCCATAAAAGCTAATGCCTCGGCTACAAGGGGTGCTGTTGTAGAAAATTTTGATGCTTGCCTAATTAAAAGCATACCTTTGTCGTCTCTTATTATAATTTCCATCGCTTTTTTATGAGAGTACTTCTTAAAAGCTGCATTGCAATCGATTTTAATCCAATTAGTAAGGGGGGGGGGGGGGGGGGTGTTGCTGTGCTCCAATTATTGCAGAATAAGGTGAAGTTTGGGGGCTCAATCATGTTTATAGTTGGCTTGCATGATTCGACTTACACATTTAACATTTTAACTTGTTGAACTGCCTGCATTGGATTAATTTTTGCTCCATTAAACACTTCATTTCGTATTGAGAATTTTTCCAACAACCAGTCTTCCAGTTTGTGAACATGAAGGCTTTTGACATCTCATCGAAACTCAGTGGCAAACCAGACCGGGAGAGTCCATGCGCATCCCAGAACAAGATGTTCCAATGATTCTACAACATCATGATAGATTGGGCATAAAGAGTCTGATGCTATTTTCTTCTTAAACAAATTGTCCTTGGCCGATGCTGCATTATTGGATAGTTGCCACATAAACACTTTTATCATTTCTAATGTTTGTAGGCCTCAAATCTCCTTCCAAAGTCGTTTGTCAACCACCTGGGATGTAAAAGTAATATTATTATGGCTAAGAAGTGCCTCTCTGGATTGGTGATAATTTGTGTCTTTACATTATAGATTCCATTGGACAAGTGAGGCCATATAATGCAATCAGATTCAGAGTTTCAATTCATCTGAATAGCAACTACTTTTTTTGCATTATCAGCCCCATAAACTTCAATTAATTTATGATAATCCCATGTTCTACCAGAAGATGAAAACAACTTCTTCAATTTCTGATTGGTTTTGACAATGGGCTTAATCTTGCATTCCTGATGGCATCCAATTGTCATCTATAATTCGAATAGAGTTGCCATTATTCACTTTCCAAATTGCTTTCTCCTTGAGAAGGTTTCTTCTAGACAACTGACTCTTCCAATCCCAGGAGCTATTCTTTTTGCATTTTGCCTTCTAAAAGTGTTTATGAGGAAAATAAATGGCTTTTAAGAGGATTTAGGAATGGTGATAGAGAGAAATAGGAAATCAAATAAGCTGGAAATTCACCAAATGTCATTTTTACAGAAACTTACATCCAAGTTTGGAATGACTGACTCTAGAGTTGTTTTTATACCCTTAGCAAGTCATTTTATACTTAGCAAAGTGCAATGTCCTAAAATAGATACTAAATTGATAAAAAAGGAGAACATTCCCTATGCTAATACAATAGACTCAACAATGTATGCTATGATTAGTACAAGAGTAGACCTAGCCTTTACTATTTCTTTACTAAGTAGATACATGTCTAATCTTGTAATTGAGCATTGGGTTGCGTTGAAATGACTTTTAAGATACATAAATAGTTTTGTGCATGTTGGTTTGGATTATTGCAAAAGAAATATTGTACTTGATCTGGTTGGTATGTAGATTCTAATTTTGCTAGTGACAAAGATACTAAAAAATCTACAACAGCATACTATTGTACTCTTAGTGGGAATTGTGTGAGCTAGAAGTCACAATTATAGCCCTTGGTTGCTTTATCCACAGCAGAGGCTGAATATGTGGCTGTAACTGATGCGTTTAAGGAAGCAATTTGGCTGCAAGGTATTCTGAAAGAGGCTAACCTGTTGGAAGGGCTTGTGACTGTATATTCTGATAGTCAAAGCGCCATCCACCTATGTAAAAATCCAATGTATCATGAGAGGACTAAACACGTGGATGTGAGGTTCCCATTTGTGAGAGATCTTATCTCAAGAGGCCAATTGAACCCGCTGAAGATCCTAACTGAGGAGAATCTGACTGACATGGGGACTAAGGTGGTGACTACCACTAAGTTCAAGAATTGCTTGGACTTACTTCATGTCAGGTAAGGTAATAGAGTTGAGAATGAACATTGGAGATGCTTGTTACACTAATTGGGTACTGCTCATAAGGGGTGTGTTGGCTTCAAGGTGGATATTGTTAATGAATAAAGCCATTAAATGGTGCCGCATACTTAATCCCATGCGCTGCCGTTTTGGGTGCTGCTCCTTTTAAATCCTGGCCACTATTTTGCATCAGATCCAATGGCTGCCTCTTCCCTATTTGGTCACCGTATAAAAGCTGAACATTCTGCTGGTTTGTAAATAGATTTTTTGTTCTCTTCTTTGGGTATTATTTGCTTTCTGCTAGGGTTCTTATTAAGCACTCAAATCTTGTGTAATTCTTGGGCGATCTGGTGAATCGTTTTGTAAATGTTGTGTTTCCTTTCGATTAAGAGGATTGGGTTAAATTTCTCTTAGTATTTATAAAGGTTACCATAAGTGAGCGTATATCTAGCGATTGAGAGAGATTTATGAGTTCTTCTGAGTTTGTAATCCGTAAAAACATTCTTGATACATAGTGCAACGAGCCTTAGTGTTTTGGAC